TGAACGGACAGGTGCTTGGTTATCCCTTGTTACATTTCTTGGTTGTATAGATCTCTCCTGCCCATTACTTTGTAGGTGCAATTTAGTATGATGTTTCTTTTTGCAAAACATACACCTATGCACACTCACGCATTCCTGCGAAATATGTCCACTTGTTAGACAATTATTACACAACCTCTTTTCTCTTGCGAACTCTATTCTCTGATTAACAGTCATATTATTAAATCTCATACAATTTTTCAAAATATGGTTCTTATAACACATGACACATCTGTTTGATTGTGTCAAATGAGCATTTTGATGCGATATATGATCATTGCTAAATGAAGTTGAAGCTGTTTGACTTCTGAGACCATCTATTCGCTCTAGAACCCGATGTCTGTTCTTAAGAAAATCTTCCATTTGCGACCATTTGGGTAGCTCTGAATGTGATTCGAGCGATTGTTCCCATAGGGTCAGCGTATCAACCGGAAGCTTAGTTGAACATAAATATATTAAAATTGGATCCCATTGATCCACCTTTACACTATGAGCTCTCAATATAGCCAAGCAGTCACTAACTGTCGATTGAATTCTTTTAATATCTTTGCTAGATTCAACCGTTGCTGCAGAAAGATTGAATAATATCTTCAGTTGGTTATCAACTAGTACCCTAACATTTTCGTATCGCACCGATAATGCTTCCCATGCTAACGAAAAATTTTGATCAGATAAAGGGTACCGATCTACAATTCTACCAGCCTCACCTTTAGTTTTATTACGCAAATGATAAAGCTTTTGCGCTGGTGTGAGTCTGGGATGATTTCCATAAATAGCCGTAAACATATCTCTAAATGTTGGCCATTCTTCATAACTTCCGTAGAAGTCTTGAGTGTCACAAGGTGGCACTTTAATACAAATCTCAGACATATCAAACGTTGTACCCGGAGGATAAACAGCTGAGCTGTGAAACAACGATGGATTTGTAACTTCGCCTCTAGCGTTATTACTTTGGCTCTGCGCCTTTCGATTTTTTAATATTTCCAATAATGTAGCTTTAGTCACTTGGTAATTATCTCTGACTGACTCATAATATTTTTTTACCTTTATTTTATATTGTTTATCTTCCTCATCTTCTGTGCCCGCAAAAAATACACTCTCAAACGCACTACGTAAATTTTGCCAATCTTCATCAAGCGATTCTAATTTTGTTTCTATTAAAGAATCGCTTAAATCCTTTTCTGGCATATTTCTCAATTTTTTGCATTCTTCCAAAAGGTTGTCCGCTTCATACTCGAACTTAGCACAACTTACTGACTCCATATTTGATTATTTTATTTTTATCTTTTTTTTCAAAATGTTATCTAAATTTTTTTTATTTATGAATTTTATTAATTTATTAGTATTTATTTTTTAAACGTTTTATGATAGTTATATCGTATTTGCTTATACTTGTTATTATTTATATTACACTTTCAAACTTTAACGTTCAATTTATTTACTAATTAATAAATAAATGAAGTTATTCCACATAGATTTCTAAATGTTTGAAGTATAATTATATTTGTTTCTCAATAAATATTTAATATATAAAAATTTATTGAAAAATTATTAATATGTTTTAAATTTTGTTTTTAATTAAATATATATTTATTTTTAATTTATTATTTTTATTGTATTTATTCTTGTATTTTATTGTTATTATTAGTTTTATTTCTATTCAATATCAATTTATGATACGTTCAGTACTTGTGCTACGTTAAGATACGTTTACGACAACCTTTCGTTACGTTTCACTAACTTGCTCACTTTTCCTGAACACTTCCTAAAATAATCGATGGTCAGTATGACAGCTGACAGATCGATGTAAACAACAAGGAACAGGTGATAATGACTTGTTCGATGTTGTAAAATGGCAGATGATCAAAACAAAGAGCAAATGCCAAAATGATGAAAAAAATAAATGGAGTGAGAGTGATCTTTATAAATGTGTTAGTGTATATGTGTTATTTTAAAGCGGAACACCGCTTTCAATGTATTTCACAAATTACTTCAATTTGTTGTATGTATTAGTGACAACAAACAACACAAAGCCGCCACTTTCAAATGCAAATTACAAAACAACAACACTTCTCACTACTTTACAATTAATTTTAAATTATTATTTTTTTTTATGATTTTGTTGGCAAATCAGCCGATTCTTATTTTTTTTGGACTCGAAGGACCATGTACAAGTTCCGATACGGTCGAAAGGACTTGTAGGGATTCTAATTCTACTGAGTAGATTTAGAATCGAAGATTATTGTTGAACAGGACGGACAACAATATAAATTTGCAAACTACGACAACACAACAAGTATTCTGACGATACTTACGTTTGTTGTCTGCAAATAAAACACAAAGAAATAAACTTTTAAATTCAAACGTATGACGCTGGCGGTCAATTTATTCGTAATTTAATAGATCTGGCGATCGACACTTTTATTTCTTTTTACTTCAAGAAGAAGAGTGGTAGGTTTTTTATTGTTGGTGGTGATGGGACCTCATCGATTAATTATTTATCCAGGTCGATGAGGTCCATTTCGATATCATCATCCAAGGGGTTGGGAAGATTCCCAACAAGAAGTTTTTAAACAAACAAAATGATCGTGTTTACTTGCCATAGAGGTCAGCTGAAAATCTGCACCTTCGGTTGGCCACCAGAACTCAAGCACCGGCCATAATGATGGTGTGGGACGCCATAACAGCCGATGGTCGCTCTCCGCTCGTATTAATCGACCGTGTCATCAGAAAAATTCCGAACATTATCGTGAAAATATTCCGGAGGAAGTATTAAGGCCTTGGGCACGCAAAAATTGTGGCCGCAGAACTTGGACATTCCAACAGGACCATCAGCACCATCGCACTCAGCAAGCGCCACACAAGAATGGTTACAAAATGAGGTTCCTCGCTTCATTTCCAACGCACAATGGCCAAGAAAATCTCCGCATTATTGTGTCTGGAGTATTTTGGAAAGGTTGGCACTAAAAAATCGATTACCTCAAGCAAGCGCTTCGCCGGGAATGGGCCAAAATACCATAGAGTAACATTCGGGCAGCGTGTGATGGTTTCATTGGCCGTTTGAAGGCCATAATTCGTTCCAAAGGTGACCAATTCGAATAAATCTAAACTTATTCTAAAATGTGATGCTATTTCCGACATTTCTTGCTTTTATTCAATAAAATTTAAAAAAAAATGTAAAAATTATGATGTTTGTCTTTTTTGCAGTTTTTTTTTATCTCATCCGTATTTTCCTATCGATTGCCAGTACTCAGCAAATAGATATAATTGCCATCATTCCTCGGTTTGTGCACTAGACTAATATACCTTCTTATACCACTGTTCAAAAATTATTGCAAACATGTGAGAAATTACACAAAACATTTATTAGCAAATCGGTTACCAACAGGCGCACATTTGCCATGTGATTGCAAAATAATAAGAATCTCAGAAACAAAACAAAAACAACAACAACACTTACTTTGCGATAATAACGAAATGGCACATCCTCATGCACAACATAGAGATAATCTGCTAGATACTTTGTGGTGGGTATCTCCATTTTGGGACAGATTTTATAACGTTTACTGCTCGAGCATAGGAAATTGTCATTTTCATGCATTTGGACACGAAACACTTGTCAGACAAAAGAAATAGGCGGCTTTTCCGTGTCTGTCCATCTGCTAATGGATGGCAAAAGACTCACAGACTGCACACACACGCACGCACACACACTGACACGCTGACACACTTCTTCGTTGACTACTTTGTAGTAAATGGGAGGGAGAGATTTTTTCCCAGTAAACAATTTTTTCCGACTGCTCTGATTTTAGATTTTTTTCCGAAATTTCTGACGTTTTTTTCAGAAATTTCTGATAGAAATTGGTCCGATTTTCTAAACGTTTTTTTTAGAATTTCTGCACATTTTCCTGTGTTTTTAAGCGAAAAAAACTCGAAAAATTTACAAACGGAGAGAGTAGATTGTTTATTGCTCTGGCATATTCTCTCCCACATGTAAACGGATGGTGGTGGTTTGACACATTCTCTCCCATTGTAGTTGTTGTTGTGATCATTCATTTCAAGATCTCAACAACAACAAAGCGCAAAGCAAAAATGCTATTTGTTATTGTTATTGTGAACTGTTAGATTTTCCGTTGTAAAAATGTGCGTTTTGTTGTTGTGAATCAGCCTCTTTCTCTTTCGTTCCCAAAAAAATATGATGGAAAAAAATTGCAAAAACAACTACATACCGGTTTTCTGTGTGCACTGCTTTTTATTTTTAGTTCTTGTTTAGCAGTTGAAACAGAAACGTGCTACTGTATGTTATGTTCCTAATAAACTACATTTTTACGAAACCCGAAATAAATTGTTTGTTTTTGAAATAAATATGTGTTTTTTTTTTTTCATTTTTAAGTGGTGTGACGATTTTTTCGATATTTCTTCCGAATTCTGAACGATTTCTTTCAGAAAATCGGAACTTTCTCCCGAATTCTGAGCGTTTTTTTTTCAGAAAATCTGAATTTTATTCCGAATTTTCTTTCGAATTCTGACCGATTTCTTTTAGAAAATCTGAATATTCCGCCGAATTTCCAGACGAATTCTGCCCGATTTCTTTCAGAAATTCGGAGTTGTCCTCCGAATCTTTTCCGAAAATCTAATTTTTTCTCCTATTTTTTCAAGAATTTTCACCGAATTCGGACCGAATTCGTCCAGAAAATCTAATATTTTTTCAGATTTTTTTCAGAAAATCTTTCCGAATTCGGTGACCACGTCCATACAACTTTCGTACCGAAATCGGAAGGAATTCGGAATCAGAATCGGACATTTTTTCAGAGATTCTGATAGAAATCGGACCGAATTCGGCAAAAATTGTTTACTGGGTTCTTTTCTTCACATTTATCACATTATATGTGGATAGATAGATTGGTTATTGATTTTTGATCGATTTTTAATTGTATTTTTATTACGTGTTTTTATTATTATTTTTCCAACTTTCTTCTAATGAAATTTTTGCTAAAAATAAATTTTTTTTGTTTTGAAATTTTTGTTTATTAATATGTGTTTGGCTTTTATTATTTATTTGAACCCCCTGTGTCTTGAGGGCGTTTTATCGTTTCTCGTAATGCGTCCGCTGTAAATTAATGCCACCTTCACATAGTTTTCAAACCGGAAACTGGCTTTGAGTTGCGTGTGGTTTCATTTGGGGGTTTCTTTGCCGGCTTTGAAATTTATTATGTTTTGAGGTTTAACATTTTGTGTTTGCATTTATTTTTATTTGTTTTCCATTTACTTTAATTTTTTTTAGGTCGGATATATTAGTTGGGTTTTATACGATAATGATTTGTACCTTAAGTAGGTCTATATTAAAATATTGATTTCACACTATAAACCTTTTTATAGGTCCGAGCAGTCATTTCGAGTAGTTGACGAAACTATTCGGATATTCACAAGCATACTACACGAATATTTATATAAGCAAGAAAGAATGCAATAAAATCACCGGACCGAACATACAATACCTTGCCACAAATATCGAAATATATATATATATATATATATATATATATATATATATATATATATATATATATATATATTATATATATATATATATATATATATATATATATATTTTCCTAATCTGCATAAAATTCTATGTCGATTTAGCGATGTCTATCCGTATGAAGAGAACCGGATGCTTAATTCGGATTTTATAATCGTTTTGCTCATTATAAACATTGACCCTTTGTGGTAGAGGTACCAACAGAAATGGTCCGATCTCTACCATCTTTATAACAGACCTTGTATTGATGGAAATATTGAGAAGTACCAAGTCTGAATGGAATCGGGAGTTAATTTCGCGATTTTTGACCTTCATGGGCATTCAAAATTTTGATCGTTTGTGGGGGAGGTACCACAAGAAATGGACCGATATATCCAGTCTTCACAGCAGGTTTTATGTCAATAGGAATAATAGGCTGTGTGAAACATGAAGAGAACTTGATGCTTATTTTAGATTTTTTGATCATTTTGTTTATTCAAAACTTTGCGGCCTTGCGGGGGAGGTACCAGAAGGAATGGTCCGATCTCTACTATTTTTATAATAGATCTTGTTTTGATAGAAATATTGAGATATGCCAAGTTTGAGGGGAATCGGATGTTAATTTCACGTTTTATGAGCTTCATGGATCTAACCTAAATAGAGGGTTCGTTTTAAGTTTCCATGGAATCCTTGTATTTAAGGTATATTGTGTCTTCAGCAATATTACTCCTGACAATAGGAGGACTTTGGCTCATACTTTTAGCCTTCATGCGAGTCACCAGAGGGCTGCTTTTATTCCTTTTTTCAACTTCGTCAGCGAAAAGTCTACCTTAAAATTTTAGATTCTTTCAAACAGTCCTTTGTGGTACTTATTCACATTTTTCCTTTTTCGGAAAGAATATTGAAACTGTTTACCTTTTATACAAACAATTCTTGAAAACCTTTCATTTTGATTTTTACCGAATTAGTAAAACCATTGCACAATGGACTCACATCCAATTTTTCAGCTCCTTGCCAAATTTAGTACCATTAAGAGCTTTTCGTACAACTATAGTAGAAATTTTCAAAATCATCTCCATATATCAATTCCAGGTACTAACATAGATCTCTCTATCAAATTTCGGGATTCCAGTTCTATCCCTTTACCCGCTACCCCATGTAGTACCCCTTAGTACTTTTCCAACAATTACATATTTCCGAAACCACCTCCATATGCGACTACAATACTATATTTCAGATTTTAAACACTATCTGTTCACCCAATACAAAATTGTACCAATATAGTATAAAAAATAGTACTATTTACTACAATTATAGTACACATATATAAAACCAGCTCCTTCTCTCAGCCACAAATATCAACAATGACATCCATATCAAATTTCAGGATTTCAGCTGTATCCCTTCATCCAAATGCTAAATTTAGTACCATTCGTACAATTATAGTACAAATTCAAATAATCACTTCCATATCTCAATTCTAACTCTATTCCTCTACCTGATACCCAATTTAATACCACTTAGTACTTTTCCAACAATTATAGTACATATGTCCGAAACCATAAGACTCTAATACCATTTTTCAGGTTTCAAGTACTATCTGTTCACCCAAAAACAAAATTGTACCAAATTTAGTACTATTTAGTACTTTTCGTACAATTTTAGTACACATTTCCAAAATCACCTCCATATCTCAATTCCAAATTCCAACAGAGGCCTTAAGATTAAATTTCGGGATTCCACCTATATCCCTTTAGCCGCTACCCAATTTAGTACCATTTAGTACTTTTTGTACAAATATAGGACGTATTTCCAAATCACCTCCGCATCTCAACCTGAGATACCAACGGTTATCTAATTATGAAATTTCAGAATTTCATCTCTATCCCTTCACTCAATACCAAATATAGCATCATTCAGTACTTTTCGTACAATTATGGTACACATTACTACTATTTCCATATGTTCAGGCTACACATGAATAGCGACCCTAATACCAAATTTGAGATTTCAAGCACTATCTCCATTATGGTACTCATTTCCAACACCACCTCCATATCTCAATCCCAGTTACCAACAGAGACCCTAAGATCAAATTTCGGGATTCCAGCCCTATTCCTTAACCCAATACCAAATTAAGTATCACATAACCATACCCACTAACAGTGACCCAAATACCAACATTTTAAATTTTTAAATCAATTCGTTCATCCAAAACCAAATTGTGCTAAATATAATATCATTTAGTACAGTTTAGTACTTATATCAAACCTACTTCCAAAAATTAATTTCTATATAAAATGTCAAGATTTTAGCTAAATACCAAAAGGTACGAAATTTAGTGCTTTTTTGGAAAATTGGACTAGATGTGCAAAACATTTTCCAAAAACACAGCATTATATCACCCCTACCCACCAAAAAAATCGGTGAATAATGTAGCTAAAATCATCAAAGTACCGAATATCGGGAGGTTCTGTTATATGGGGGATATACGAAGACGTGTACCTGTCAGACAATCTCCTGTCATGGGCTGTAGCATCCATTACGAATTTCAAATACCAAATTTGAAACATTTCTAGTGAAAAATGTCACTAAAATCAACAAAGAACCGATTATCGGGAGGTTAATTGGGGCTATACGAAGACTTGTACCTGCACAGACAATTTTCTGTCATAGGCTGTAGTCTCCATTACGAACTTCAAATACCAAATTTGAAACAATTCCCATGAATTATGTTGCAAAAATCCTCAAAATACCGAATATCTTGAGGTAACGTTATATGGGGGCTATACCAAAACGTGGATCTACATGGCCCATTTTCAATACGACTAGTCCTGCAGACATAATATACATTTGAGTAACATTTTATCAACCTACTTCATTTTGTTCGGAAGCTAGAGTGATTTCCACAGACGGATAGACATCGCTAAATCGACATAGAATTTTATGCAGATTAGGAAAATATATATATATATATATATATATATATATATATATATATATATATATATTTTTTTTTTTTTTTTTTTCCTAATCTGCATAAAATTCTATGTCGACATAGAATTTTATGCAGATTAGGAAAATATATATATATATATATATATATATATATATATATATATATATATATATTTTTTTTTTTTTTTTTTCCTAATCTGCATAAAATTCTATGTCGATTTAGCGATGTCTATCCGTCTGTGGAAATCACTCTAGCTTCCGAACAAAATGAAGTAGGTTGATAAAATTTTACTCAAATGTATATTATGTCTGCAGGACTTGTCGTATTGAAAATGGGCCATGTAGATCCACGTTTTGGTATAGCCCCCATATAACGTTACCTCAAGATATTCGGTATTTTGAGGATTTTTGCAACATAATTCATGGGAATTGTTTCAAATTTGGTATTTGAAGTTCGTAATGGAGACTACAGCCTATGACAGAAAATTGTCTGTGCAGGTCCAAGTCTTCGTATAGCCCCAATTAACCTCCCGATAATCGGTTCTTTGTTGATTTTAGTGACATTTTTCACTAAAAATGTTTCAAATTTGGTATTTGAAATTCGTAATGGATGCTACAGCCCATGACAGGAGATTGTCTGACAGGTACACGTCTTCGTATATCCCCCATATAACAGAACCTCCCGATATTCGGTACTTTGATGATTTTAGCTACATTATTCACCGATTTTTTTGGTGGGTAGGGGTGATATAATGCTGTGTTTTTGGAAAATGTTTTGCACATCTAGTCCAATTTTCCAAAAAAGCACTAAATTTCGTACCTTTTGGTATTTAGCTAAAATCTTGACATTTTATATAGAAATTAATTTTTGGAAGTAGGTTTGATATAAGTACTAAACTGTACTAAATGATATTATATTTAGCACAATTTGGTTTTGGATGAACGAATTGATTTAAAAATTTAAAATGTTGGTATTTGGGTCACTGTTAGTGGGTATGGTTATGTGATACTTAATTTGGTATTGGGTTAAGGAATAGGGCTGGAATCCCGAAATTTGATCTTAGGGTCTCTGTTGGTAACTGGGATTGAGATATGGAGGTGGTGTTGGAAATGAGTACCATAATGGAGATAGTGCTTGAAATCTCAAATTTGGTATTAGGGTCGCTATTCATGTGTAGCCTGAACATATGGAAATAGTAGTAATGTGTACCATAATTGTACGAAAAGTACTGAATGATGCTATATTTGGTATTGAGTGAAGGGATAGAGATGAAATTCTGAAATTTCATAATTAGATAACCGTTGGTATCTCAGGTTGAGATGCGGAGGTGATTTGGAAATACGTCCTATATTTGTACAAAAAGTACTAAATGGTACTAAATTGGGTAGCGGCTAAAGGGATATAGGTGGAATCCCGAAATTTAATCTTAAGGCCTCTGTTGGAATTTGGAATTGAGATATGGAGGTGATTTTGGAAATGTGTACTAAAATTGTACGAAAAGTACTAAATAGT